GACTAAACACTCCTGAAAAGAGGTCTATGGTACTGAGAGAATTAGCCAAACACAGGGCCCAAGTTGCGTATCTACAAGTAACGCATTTTAGAGGCCCGAAAATTCCTAAACTTTATAACGCTAGCTTTCCAGTGTTGTTTCATGCCTCCTCATCTACATCTAAAACAAAAGATGTAGGTATCTTGATATCAAAGAACCTCCCCGTTCAAATATCTGAACACCTAGTGGATAAAGAGGGTTGCTTTCTTTTTTTAAAGGGAAGATTTACGGCCGCCCTATTACACTCGCGAACATATATTGTCCCAATGAAGGTCAAGTGTCCTTTATCCAAAAAGTGACTGACCTTCTAGTTCCATTTCACGAGGGTATAGTGATATTAGGAGGGGATATGAATGTACCTCTTAATCCACTTCTAGACTCATCTACGGGTACCTCTGCTGTTCTGTATAGGGCTCTTAAGCAAATTAAATTACAATTGAATTTACTATCCTTACATGACTCATGGAGGATACTGCACCCAGACACAAAAGATTATACTTATTACTCATCACCTCATCGCAAATATTCACGCATCAATTACTTCTTTTTTTCACAAAGTGATCTCCCACATCTCCACTCTGCTAGCATCGAACCCATGTACATCTCAGATCACCTTCCGGTGACTATCTCCTTAAGCTTCCCTAAATTGCAGGCTAAACCCAAAAAGTGGACAGTAAACTCTTAGTCAGTGACCCAATTGACCTCGCCAAACTCCAATCATCCTTGCTAGACTACTTTGCTAATACTTTGCTAGACGACTGAGACCTCTGTCCTGAATCTCTGGTTGGCTCATAAATGTGTACTCCGACGGGAATGTATTTCTTTGACAGCACAAAATAAAAAACTTCACTAGGCCCATATCTCAGATCTTCTAGCACAAATGTGTTCTTTGGAAATGACTCATAAACAAAGTAGGGCAGATGATGTTTACAACTCCTTGGTAGAAACCAGGAAAATCCTGCTAGAAGCTCTGGGCAAAAAGATTCGATGCAATTTTGTCCTGGCGTCCAAGCTCTACTATGAGCAGGCTGACACAAATGGCAAACTCTTGGCCAGACTACTTCAGGGCAGAAGGGCTCAAATGAATATCCATTCTAGCCATGATAAGGCAAATAAATGCTTCAACAAAAATGAGGACATTGCGCAACAATTTGTAGATTACTACATTAAACTATATATTCTATCCACATGTAATTCCCCTACATTTGCTCACACCTCGCATGCACAATCCATTGATGATTTCTTAGCTCTACATGGTATGTCAACAATCTGCCCCAATGCAGCCTCATCCCTTGACAAATGCATTACGGAAGAAGAATTTTGGGTGGCCTTACAACACATGAAACTGGGTAAATTTCTGGGGTCCGATGGATGGTTTTTCTGCTCAGTACTATAAGAGCTTCTAGTTGATTCTTGTACCACACTTCCTAGAGGCTTTTAGGCCCTTACCATGGCAGGCACACCCTACTCCTCAGCTACTAGAGGCGCATATCACTGTTCTACATAAGAAAGATAAAGATAGCTCGCAGGTCAAGAATTACAGACCCATATCATTGATAAATGTGGACGTCAAAAGTTTTGCTAAGATCTTGGCAAATAGACTACTTCCTTTCCTTCCTCATTTGATCTCCCTAGATCAAGTTGGTTTCATACCAGGTCGAGAAGCGTGCGATAATACCATTAAGGCTATTGATATTCACCACTGGATGTCTAATTCGGGGTCGGAGGGATTCTTTTTGTCCACTGATGCGGAAAAGGTGTTCGACAGAATTGCCTGGGATTTCATGGAGTTGGTTTTGACATCGATAGGCTTAAGTCCCTCTATGCTGGCCATGATTATGAGACTCTACAATGGCCCCCAGGACAGAGTCAGGGTTAATGGCCATATGTCGGACACCTTCTCGATTAGGAATGGGACCAGACAAGGGTGCCCTCTATCCTCGATCATCTTTGTCCTAACGATTGAACCACTACTATACTGTATTAGATCACACTCTGACATAACAGGGGTGCAAATAGGCCATAGGGAATACATAATTGTGGCGTTTGCGGACGACATACTTTTTTTCTTGACTAAGCCTTTAACTACACTTTCCAACCTGATATCAGTACTACAGTATTTGGGGGAACTGTCTAATTTCAAAATACATTTTACCAAATCCTTTGCCTTGAATGTCTCCTTATCTACTCTACTAGTCCACAAATGCCAAGATTCTTTCTCTTTTTCGTGGTGCCTGGTATCCATCACGTATTTTGGCATATAGCCCTCCTCAAAATGATCGGATCTTTATATTCTAAACTTCCACCCTTTTATTTAGGAGGTTAAAAAAGACCTCACTAAGTGGGAACACCCTGATCTCTCATGGTTTAGATGAGCTGTGGCAATCAAGATGAAAGTCTTGCCCGATTCTTATATTTGTCCCAGACTATCCCTATACAGCTACCATCCGATTTCTTTACAACTATTCGCTTGATTTTGACTGCTTACATTTGGAAAGGGCAAACACCTAGACTTATCCTGATGAGACGTATAGCCTCTAAAGAGGGTGGTGGTATTGGCTTACTAAGATGTATCATAGGGCATCCCTCCTGACCAGACTGGTTGATTGGCATACATGGGGATCTTAAGGGCTGGATGTGGTCGTACTTGCAACTTAGACACTTTCTGACTAACTTCACACTAAAAGCGAAATTTAGTCACCTATTGTCGCCCTTGACGCCTTTTGAAAAACTGTGCTTCTCCACGGCCCCACAACGACATTTAATATCGACTATATACTCCATACTTTCTGGCCCAGAATCACAAAACCTCAGGCCTATCATTAAAGCATGGGACCCTGAACACTCGCACAATCTTTTTGCAGAGGATTGGCAGCATATTTTTCTGAATGTACACAAGGGATCTCTGAACGTATTAAATCAAGAACACAATTACAAAGTCCTTACACAGTGGTACAGAACACCTCACTACATTCATAAAATGTTTCCTCAGGTTCCAGACACATGCTAACTCTGTGATACTATGACAGGTACAATGTCCCACATTTGGTGGGACTGCCCCAAGATAAGCCCATCATGGTCACACAAGTTCACAAGATCATCGTAAAAGGTGTCTTCCTACCAGATAGCTTTCTCCCAACTACAATACTTGATTCACCACTCCATACCCATGGGCCAGTCATCTCACAAATCTCTAGTCAGGCATATGATTAATTCAGCGTGGATGCGCAGTTCCAGTGTTCTGGAAACAAACTAGAATTCCGTCTTTAAGGGATTGGTTCTCCAGACTCAATAACACTGCGGAGATGTAGGAATTGATAGCTACCTCTTTGGATAGACTGGAAAGATACCTGAAAAACTGGATGTGTTGGATCCACTTCCAATCTACTGCAGACTATCAAAAAGTTATGAACCCGCAACCATAATGCCTTAACTCATTTCTTAATTCTCCATTTAATTCAAACCTTACCATTTTACACTAAGAGACTCGACATTGCAACCTAATCCCCCTCCCCCTTTTTTTTCTCTCTCCCCATCCATCCTCCTCCATCCCTTTCCCCCCACCCCTTTTGTCTTCTTCTCTTTCTTATCCCTTCCACTTTAATTGGCTCTCTGCGCTTTTCTACTGGACTCATGTCCATCCCAACACGTCACCCACTGTGCCTCTCCTATCCCCCTGTTGAGGTTATTGTTTCTCCATTTTTCTGTTTTTTAATTCACAAGGTTTGGAAAGTCATAACCAATGTTTAAAAAATGACGTTCTAAGTTCTTCTATACTTGCATGCCCAATACATTAATTGTTAATTTAGCTGTGTATTAGCTTTTTTCAATTGAGATGCATCTTCCTGGCCCAACCAATGTGCATAGGTTTGGATGCCTTTTTCTTCCTCTTTGGAAAAAGCAAATGGATTTCATTGGATGTATGTAGCTTTAAGTTAACTCCAGTTGAGTGGAAAGGATATGTCATTTATTGATTGCTATGGACATGATTATATTTTGACTGTCACCAATTTCTGATGGATTTATTAAGATTATATGCTATGACTTTCTCAATAAAATTTTTATGGAAAAAAAATTAAAAAATGTAAAAAAGTTACAAAATATTTAAAAAGTTGAACACAGAAATGTTTTTTTTTTTCATACTGTCACCAGTCAATATCCCTGATCACCTCCAAACCAGTCATATGATAATGCAATACTGCACTGGTGACGGTATGTAAAAAAAAAGTGAAAAAAAAATTTTTTTTTTCATTTTCAAAAAAATTGTGACAAAAAAATTACAGCTTCAAAAAACTCACCATGCCTCCTACTAAATAACTCAGACTATCTACTTTCCAAAAAGGGGTAATTTGGGGGTATTTTTACTGTGCTGGTATTTAATGGACTTCAAGAAATAAGATCAGCCGTCATTACATCAGAATTGATCAATGTTTAAATATATACTGTATACCATAGTTTGTATTGTAGACGCTATAACTTTCACACAAACCAATTAATATACACTTGTTTGGATTTTTTTTTTTACCAAAGACATGTAGCAGAATGCATTTTGGCATACATTTATGAATACATTAGATTTTTTTTTATTAGATATGTTTTATAAACAGAAATGACAAAAATAGTGTATGTTTTCAAAATGTTAGGACTGTTTTGTTTAACCACCTTCCGCCCGCCCTATAGTACAATGATGGGCGCAAGGTGGTTCTCTCGTTCTAATAGGACATCATATGACGTCCTACCATTCTCACTGCACATGCGCGGCTCAGGGAGCGCGCAGCGTGGTGATCGCCGGGACACAACGGATCATGGAAAGAGCCGAAGATGTCGGCTCATTCATTTCTCTCTTCTGGAGCTGTCACGCTCACAGCTCGAGAGGAGAGGAGAGCCGGTAATCGGCTTTCTGCGGAGGGGATATGTACACTGATCATCAAGGCACTGATGATCAGTGTGCCCTGATGATCAGTGTGGACCCAGAAGTGCCACCTGTCAGTGCCCATCAGTGCCATGTGCCAGTGCCCATCAGTGCCACATCAATGTCACATATCAGTGCATACCAGTGCACATCAATGCCACATATCAGTGCTCATCTGAGCTGCCTTTCAATGTCACCCATCAGTGCCAGTCAGTGCCACCTATCAATGCCAATCAGTGCCACCTATCAGTGCCGCCTATCAGTGCCAGTCAGTGCCGCCTATCAGTGCCAGTCAGTGCCGTGCCTAACAGTGCCAGTGCCAGTCAGTGACACCTATCAGTGCCGCCTTTCAGTGCCATATATCAGTGTCATGTATAGGTGAGGCCTTTCAGTGCCCATCAGTGATGCCTGTCAATGCCCATCAGTGCAACCTACCAGTGCCTCCTCATCAGTGCCCATCAGTGCCACCTATCAGTGTCCATCAGTGCAGCTTATCAGTGCCCATCACTGCAGCCTCATTAGCGCACATCAGTGAAGGAGAAAAATTTCATATGGGTACAGTGTTGCATGACTGCGCAATTTTCATTCAAAGTGCGACAGCGCTGAGAGCTGGAAATTGGCCTGGGCAGGAAGGGGGTATAAGTGCCCTGTAGGCTAGTAGTTAAATAATAACAAAATAAAAAACTCAATGGCAATCAAACACCACCAAAAGAAAGCTCTATTTTTGTGAAAAAATTAAATAAATGTCATTTGCGTAGTGTTGCATGACCGCGCAATTGCTAGTTAAAATAATACAGTACCTAATAACAAAAAATGGTGGTAAAACCTTCTGGATCTCAAGTGTTTAACTGTATTATATTTATGATTGTATAGTAGGTGTGTGTATATTGCCATGCATATTGTTAAATTTGTTTACAGATCGAGCATCATAGAGGTTTTGGCTACTTTTTATGTGTTTCTTTCATGCTACAAGGAGATTAAATAAAATGATACATGAAAATATGCTTATTTTTGATGGGCAACCATAGTGAAGAGTAGCATATGACATTTATGCTGTATCTCAAAAACTAGTGCTGACAGGGAAAAATTGATGCCATTTTTAGAATCAATGGATCAAATATACCCTGGAACAAGACTAACATTGGAGTCACCAACATATGTGTTGGTTTATGTTATCAGTCACATACTGTCTGTACAACAACCGATCATCCTTTGTTTGATTTCAGACAGGGCCGGATCTAGCCGGTCTGATGTGGGGATGCAGTAAAACATTTCAGGGAGGCAGAGGGTGGGAGGTCAGTAGGAAAATGTACAGGGAAACAGCAAGATAGATGATAGGGTCAGTAGTTTGTAGAGCAGTGTACATATGATATTAGTTTGTAGGGCAGTTGACAGGGTGTCAGCAGGGCAAAGGATGGAAGGTCAGCAGGGGAGTGTACAGGAATTGGTAGGGCAGTGTACAGGGGGTCAGCAGGGCAGAGAACAGGAGTCAGCAGGGCAGTGTACAGGAATCAGTAGGGCAGTGTACAGGGGGTGAGCAGGGCAGAGAACAGGGGTCAGCAGGGCAGTGTACAGGGGTTAGCAGAAGGTAGAATGGGAGTCAACAGCATAGAGGCCAGAGGCCAGCAGTGTACAGGGGTCAGGTGAGCTGAAGACAAAGGTCAGCAGAGTGGAGGACAGTGGTCACTGCTGGCAGGGCAGAGGACAGGGCCAGGTTCACTGCTGGCAAGGCACTTGGCAGAGCTCCTTCTCCCATCCCTGCACTGCACACAGCCTGGGCACAGGCAGCACAGCTCCTTCTCTCCACAAAGCACATTTCTAAGATCGAATTAATTTACACACAACCTGGATCTGCACAGTATGTACTGCGATGCTGCTGTTCCACTCAGGGAAAATCACAGGTCAGAACTGCAACATAGTAGTCAGCTACACACTGGGGTTCCTAAATGCTTCCAGTGCATGGCACTGCGTTGCCCCCTCAGCTGCTAATCACACGCCCTGCCCGTTGCTCTAACAATCCCGCCAACTTCACACTTCTTCCACTCTTTACATATCCTCACATTACATTGTGCACTGTCCTGGCTCTGTGTAGAGGAATGCAAACTCTGCTGTGTGGAGATGGGGAGCTCTGCTGCCAGTGTCCTCTCTGTGTGAAGTGCAGGGTTGGGAACAGGAGCTCAGCGGCAGGGCACAGAGTCCAGGAAGCTTTGGGGGGGCACAAATGAAAACTGGGGGGGGGGGCACATTCCACCCCAGCATCCTCCTAGATCCGACCATGATTTCAGAAAAACTATTTCACAAAGAACAAATGCAAAAAACTAGAGGTGTACATCCCTTTAATAAGTAAAATAAATAAATGGAAATGCAAATGATTCTGCACTAAATAACCCAAAATGATTAATCATTTTTATGATTTTTCAACACATTTCTAGGTAATAAAATTTCCAAAGAACACCTTAGTTTTCAATACCTTGTCTAGAAATGTATTCATCTATCAACTAGAATAGATTAAAAAAAGATGTATTGTTTTCAATCTTGAGTTTGAAATAAGAATACCACATATAGAACTTAATTTGTGAAAGTCTTTCCTAAGGGTGTTGGTGTGTTTTTAGATTCTATTAAAATGTGTTAGATTTTGATTCTCAAACTTTAGAATGAATCATTTTGATATACTGTACTTGTTAAACTAATTGAGTCTTCTAAATATACATCTATGTAAAAACATTATGTCACATACAGTTGTGACCAAAATTATTCAACCCCCACTGAAATTGAGTGTTTTTTATAAAGCCAGTTTGACATTGCTTTTGATCATTCAGTCATCTTGCTTACATTTACATTAAAGAGGCACTTGTAGGTCAGGCAAATATAACATAACAGTTATAATGAAATAACCACAAATGTCTTTTCTGTGCTCACAGCATTATCAGTTTTATTCAACCCCCAAGTGACATTCAATCTTAGTACTTAGTACAGCATCCTTTTACAGTTATAACAGCTTTTAAACGTGAAGCATAGCTTGACACAAGTGTCTTGCAGCGATCTACGGGTATCTTCGCCCATTCTTCATGGGCAAAGGCCTCCAGTTCAGTCACATTCTTAGGCTTGCGCACTGCAACTGCTTTCTTTAAGTCCCACCAGAGGTTCTCAATCGGATTTAAGTCTGGTGACTGCGATGGCCACTCCAAAATGTTCCAGCCTTTCCTCTGCAACCATGCTCTAGTGGACTTGGAGGTATGCTTGGGATCATTGTCCTGTTGAAAGGTCCAACGTCTCCCAAGCCTCAGGTGTGTGACGGACTGCATCACGTTTCCATCCAATATCTCCTGGTACTGAAGAGAATTCATGGTACCTTGCACACGCTGAAGCTTCCCTGTACCTGCAGAAGCAAAACAGCCCCAAAGCATGATTGACCCTCCACCATGCTTCACAGTAGGCAAGGTGTTCTTTTCATCATAGGCCTTGTTCTTCCTCCTCCAAACATAGCGTTGATCCATGGGCCCAAACAGTTCTAATTTTGTTTCATCAGTCCACAGAACACTATCCCACAACTTTTGTGGTTTGTCCACATGGCTTTTGGCATACTGCAGTCGACTCTTCTTATTCTTTGGAGACAGCAAGGGGGGTACGCCTGGGAGTTCTGGCACGGAGGCCTTCATTACGCAGTGTGCGTCTTATTGTCTGGGCTGAAACTTCTGTACCCACATCTGACAAATCTTTTCTCAGTTCCTCAGCAGTCACACGGGGACTTCTCTCCACTCTACGCTTCAGGTAGCGCACAGCAGTCGAAGTCAGCATCTTCTTTCTGCCACGACCAGGTAGCGTTTCAACAGTGCCCTTTGCCTTGAATTTGCGAATGATGCTTCCTAAGGTGTCTCTTGGTATGTTTAACATCTTTGCAATCTTCTTATAGCCATTGCCCTTCCTGTGAAGAGAAATCACCTCTTCTCTTGTCTTCCTGGACCATTCTCTTGCCTTCACCATGTTTGTAACCACACCAGTAAATGTCTAGAAGGAGCTGAGTATCACAGTCATTTTAAAGCTGCCTAATTGGTGCTTATTATGCTTGATTGCTGCTCGGTGACATCCACAGGTGTTTTCAATACCTGATGGAAAGCACCTGTATGAACCTCTGTTCTTCAGAGTGGTAGTCTTTAAGGGGTTGAATAATTGTGGCAATGAAGAAACCACATAAGAACCATTTACTACTGTATTACATAAACAATTGATGTCATTTTAGTTGCATTTGGGTAGTTACAACGTCCTTGTAGGATTTGATTCTGAATACAATTCCAAATGTACACTATAGTCCCTAAACCCCTTTACAGCATTGGGGGTTGAATAATTTTGGTCACAACTGTAGGTACCACATTTATGTCCTGTTGGGTTTCTAAGTTGAAAGTAAAAACATTATTATGCCTTGTGTATTATTTGGTTGACATTAAAAACATTATTTGCTGTTATTAACTAATGCATTAGCTATTTTTGACTACTCTATGTGGAGGTAATTCATACACATTTAATATCACATCACTTTAATTAAGTTTGCTATTGTAATGTACAACTGCTGTGGTCAAAATATATTTATAAAGGTTATGCCACTGTGCCATAACCTTTATAAATATATTTTTGACCACAGCTGAGTTGCTGTTGTTCGCAGTTGCTTCCACTTTGTTATAATACCACTAGCAGCTGACCATGGAATATTTAGTAGCAAGGACATTTCACGGATGGACTTCTTACACAGGTGGCAACCTATCACAGTACCACACGTGAATTCACTGAGCTCCTGAGGGCGACCCATTCTTCTACAAATGTTTGTAGAAGCAGTCTGCATACTCTAGGTGCTTTATTTTATATACACCTGTAGCCCATGGAGGTGATTGGAACACCTAAATCCAATGATTTGAAGGGGTGTCCCAATACTTTTGGCAATATAGTGTAAATGGTGCTTTTGCAAGACACCTGTTAAATCCCATTCAATACACATTTTTTTCAAAAATTGAGTAAAAATGGTTCACCTACCAGTGTATCTGTTCATTGTGTCAAGTGGAAGCAACTGCAAACAACAGCAACTCAGCCACAGTGGTAGGCCATGTAAAATGACAAAGCGAGGTCAGCGCATGCTGAAGCACACAGTGCGCAGAAGTCACCAACTGTCTGCAGAGTTAATAGCTAAAGACCTCCAAACTTTGTGTGGCCTTCACATTAGCACAACAGTGCATAGAGAGCTTCATGGAATGGGTTTTCATGGCCGAGCAGCTGCATCCAAGCCTTACATCACCAAGTGCAATGCAAAGCATTGGATGCAGTGGTGTAAAGAAATTATATATAAAAGACTTGTGCTTAGGTGTTAAAGGCCAGAAAAAGCAGCTACCATGATCAATAGGCAAACAGTAAAAATATGTAAAAAAACTAGAGTTTCCATCCCTGCTTCACAAATTTAAACCTAACATCTCAGATTCGTGTTGGAGATGTCATCAGGTGA